GAATGCAGCTTTAACACATGAAGCTTTGACTTCACTCGGCAGAACCAGAGGTTGCCGTCTGACACTAACGCTGGAGAAGCAGGGCGTCGTCTCTGCAGGGAGGCTACAGAGCGGACCAGCATGCACTTCACCAGGTCAGCTGAAACAGTGAAATGAGCTCTGGTTCTGAACATTGCACACAAACAGACCTGCTCGCGCTACACTTCTGTCACAGCGAGTAGAAAGAAAACATCGGCATCGTGACTGAGGGATGTCAGTAAACAAGAGAACAAGTACAGACTTTGCTCAAGAGGAGATTCTTGTTTAAATAAAGCAAATTGTTAGAATCAGCCACATACTGGCTACGAAAAACAAATATAGATATGAACCACTCTGCAAAAAATAACAAATTTAACAGAAAGAATTCTGACTCGTCTGGCAGGAAAATAATGAAGCATTTTAGTCTCAAACGCCTCCAGATATGTTTACCGAGCGCTTCACGAATGAACTTGACAGTCAGTAAACACGATAGCCGCTGGCTGATTACAGACGATCCTGAGGGATCACTGGGAGGAGCTGCTCCAGTCTCACTCCTTACTCTCAACCATCTCTAAATTAGGAAAGAGGAGGCAGGAGACGAAGGGAACAAGAGCTGGAGGTTACACATTAAGATCTAGGGGCGAGTCAGCAAGAAAACAGCTTTCTTTAGAAATATAAACTGCTGAAAATGCAAAAAAATAGAAACTAAGAATGGAAAAAGTGCAGATCTAAGCAGGTGGGTCCAGAGTGTGCAGGAGAAGTTACGTCTTAGCTTGAAAGCTGCAGGTTTAAAGACCTGGTTCTAGTGCGGACCGACTCTCCTGCACTAAAGCCAATCATCCGGTCCCGTTTCATCGGCTGTATTCAGATCAGTTCCTAAAATCAACACGGGCGAGGTCGTCTCGTCAGAATAAGACGTTTTGAATGTCCACACTTTGTTGATAGTGGTCTCTGGTGCCATAAAGACCTGAGACTTAATATGCATTCATTAAACAAACACACATCAATGCAGCTCCATTAGCCGGATAATATGTTAGAATGAGAGTGAATCCTGCTCACACACACACAGAGACGTCAACGATCCGACTTCAGCCATCAAATCAAACATGTTCAAAATAATCTTAATGTGAACAATGAGAAGAGATTGAATCCTTCAACACCGCTAACACACACACACACACACACACACACACACACACACACACACACACACTAGTTAATCTACCAACAACCAAAAGACTCAAATCATATTTAAAATCAGCTAAAACTCCCCGAGCATCACTTCGTTCACTGAAGTCGTGTTTCTTTGTGTCGGTGAGGCTTCGATCCCATGAACGTCTGGAACAGGAGACGTCTACGCTCTGTGTGAGAGAGTGACATCACTTCCTGGGGACGATGCAGACAGTGATCTGGGCCGTGATGACCTCATACTGACCGGAAACAACTTGCTGCTCTTCATAGTCACCATGTTAATGATGTCATCAACGTATTCCCCTTTGAAACACTTGTCGTCATCTTCTTCTTTCTTAGGTCCTTGTTTCCTTCCCTACATCCTTCTTGCCCTCCCTATGTCCTTCTTTTCTCCCCCAAATCCTCTTTTTCTTCTCTACGTCCTTCTTTCCTTCCCTACATTTGTGTCTCTTTCCTTACATCCTACTTGCCCTCCCTAAGTCCTTGTTTCCTGAACCACATCTTATTTTTCTTCTCTACGTCCTTCCTGCCGGCCCTGTGTTCTTCTTTAAGATCTTATGTCCTTCTGTCAGTCTCTATGTCCTTATTTCCTCTCCTACGTTTGTCACTCTTTCCTCATATCTTTCTCTCCCTCCCTATGTCCTTCTTTCCTTCCCTACATCCTTCTTGCCCTGCCGATGTCTTTCTTTCTGTCCTCACTACGGCGTTCTTTTCGTCCCTACATTCGTTTCTTTTTCCTTACATCCTTCTTAACTTCCCTAAGTCCTTCTTTCCCTCCCAACTCCTTGTTTCTCTCCCTACGTCCTTCTTTCTGTCCACACATTTGTCTTTCTTTCCTTATGTCCTTCTTCCCTTCCCAACATCCTCCTTTCCTTGGCCATATCCTCCTTTCCTTCCCCTCCATCCTTCTTTCCTTTCCTATATCCTTCTTCCCTTCCCCACATCCTTTTATATGCTACCCTTCCATGCATCCTTCTTTCCTTCCCTGTATCCTTCTCTTCCCTACACCCTTATTTCCTTCGCCAATTCCTCCCCCATTTCATTCTTCCCTTCTCCACATCCTTCTTTCCTTCCCTACATCCTTCTTTCCTTCCCTCTGTCCTGTTAAACTGGGAGCATATTTGTACCAGTTGGTCAGTAACTGACCAACTGAGGGAAGCGATGAGAGTCACATCCTTTAAGGAAACATAAGAGCCACCTGACAGGAAGTGTCTCTGACTCCAGGTCCATCTGAGGACACTTCACATAACAACTTCCTCCACATTTATCTCTGAATATAAAAGAGTATCAAAGGAAACGTTGATAAAGATGCTTCTTAAACGTGTCTGTTGTGGTTCTATGACGTCATGCTGAAAATACATCATAATACAAGCTGCAGCTTTCCAAATAAACATCACTACGTAGCCGTCTGGGACGTCCATTAATGCTTCCTTACATTCCTTACTGTCATTCACCTCCTTTTTCACTTCCTTTCCTTGCTTCCTCTAAGTCACCTCCAAGAGGCAAGGAAACAAGGAGGAAGGAAATCCTCGGGGACGATCACTTCAGGAGACGACATGAGAAATAAATTTTAAGACTAAACTCCTCACTGGTTCCTCAAGACTTTGAACTTTAAATACCTTAAATGAATCTGCACAACACAGAGCTTTTAAATGTTGGGAAGGAGACGAGAAGGATAAATGATTAACTTCAGGAAAGGAGAGCATCGTCATGCAGTGACTCGATGGAGTCAAAGGGACAGAAAGATCACATCATGACTTCACTTCACGGCAATTAATCAGAGAACAATGACGCTGAGGCTTTACATGAGGACGAGTCTCAATCAACAGGGGAGGATTTGTGGTAAAAACACAAACGGGAAGCAGCTGAGCAAACATTTCAGGTGTTACTTCAAAATAAAATAAAACTTAAACTAAATCTCTTTTCTTTTCAACGTGTCTGATTGTTTCAAAGCAGACATTTCTGCCAGTCACAGCAGGAGAACATGAAACATCACATAAACATTAAGGCCAGTTTACTCTTTCCTTACACCCTTCCCTATGTCCTTCTTTCCTTCTCTACATCCTTCATGCCCCTAGAGATATCTTTCTCTCTGTCCTCACTACGGTATTATTTCTGTCCCCACATTAGTTTCCCTTCCTTACATCCTTCTTAACTTCCCTAAGTCCTTCTTTCCCTCCCAACTCCTTGTTTCTCTCCCCACATCCTTCTTTCCTTCCTCGCATACAGATATCTATTTAAACGGATAGTTTCATCTACGTTTTGGCCCCTTCGTCCACACGCGAACAGAGTTTTAGGTCACAAAAAGGGATATTACTGCCAGTATCTGTGTGGACATGTGTCAGGGTAACGATGACGTAATTTCCTACAGGCCCATCTCCTCACCTCCTCAGAGTCTTCCTCACCTCCTCAGAGTCTTCCTCGACACGATGCTGTTCCCAAAAGGCCGCTGAGATGTCTGAATATTATGTGCAACGAGACTCCCAATAACCATCGTTTTATACTTCAACACCAAGAAACAAATAAACTCTGCCAAAGGTAATAAAGCTCACTGAGCATGCTCACAATCTTCTTCTGTGGTATTTGACGTGTTGTTGACGGAGCCTTTATTGCCACCTACAGGCCCGGTGAGTCGTTATTGCGTTGTAGTGTGGACGGAGATATCTCAGAACAGAATTATACTTTAAATCGTAGAACGACTTCCCTTTGGTCGTGCTGAGCTAAAGTCCCCGAGTCATCACTAAAGAAACCACGTTGACCAGTTAGAAAGGTCCGACGGTGAAAAGGTGTACTGGACAGTCAGTACGTCTCGACTTTAATCACTGGAGTTCACCGTGTTCACACAACTGATTCCGTCACTTGATGTCTGAACAAACACGCCATGATGGAACTGTGTGAAAGCTGCGTTATCTACATGAATACAATGACTGTAAACAGAACACTGTTCACCTTCAAGTGTTACCTTTAGACGCGGTCGAACAACACATTTGTGAATTAAGAATATAAGAAATTAACGCTGCGCTCATTCCTCAAAGTTTAAACTTTAAAAAGCTGAGATCAGGTTCAGAAACAGTAAAAAAAATAAGTAGGATTTGCTTCACATGCACGAGGTTTTTAACCCAATGAAAGACTCTTAAACCAGGTGAACCAGTGTGCAGCCGGGCAGCAGGCTGGGAGCAGGGAGCAGGGAGAGGTGTTGGCCTCTCTCTGTATGCAGCAGGCAGAGCGAGCTCTTCTGCAGAGCAGGCCTCCATAACAAAAGCTCAGAGACACACTGGGAGTCACCTCCCTCTGCTTCTGCTCTTTACTCGCATCATTCTGTCGGCGTTAGCTTCAGACGGCTCATTAAATCTGCATTCCATGCAGGATTAGGTTTAACACACACACACACACACACACACGAACACACACACTTTCCTCTTTCATATACACACAACACAGGAGGGAGGTGACAGAGAGCAGATTCAGCTGTACGTACCACATCTCTTCTTCCTCTTCTTCTTCTTCTTGTTATTATGTTCAGTCCATCTCGTTCCCTTCTTCTCTTCCTGAGTGTCGGATGTTGGGAGGATGCAGAGAGAGAGAGACGAGGGAGGGGGGGACAGAGAGAGGAGGGAGGCGCTTTTGATGTTGTGGCAATCCCACTGCAGAGAGCGAGAGAGCGAGAGAGAGAGAGATGGTGCTTACAGAGAGGAAAGCTAACGCTAACGTAGCCACCAGCTCAGTGTGGGACGGTGCGATGGACGGATGGGAGGGTGATGGTGATGATGATGCGGCACCTTTCAGTATGGAAACTGAGAGGGGGGGAGAGGGTTGCCCTGTTACCTTGGAAACTGAGATGATGTGATGGAGAAGGTGGAGCTGAGCTCTGATTGGCTGACAGGGTGTGGTGCTCCCCTTCCTCTGGGAGGAGGAGGGGGAGGGGGGGAGGGGGGGATGACAGAGCAAAGGCTTCGGTGGTGAGAAGCAGCTGCTCTCTCTTTTTCTGTGCCGGGGGAGGAAAAAAAATGCTGCACAGAGACGACAGGAAGTCATTGACGCCACCAACTGGTGACTCCTGGAAGTGCAGAAGAAGAAGAAGAAGAAGAAGAAGAAGAAGAAGAAGAAGAAGCTGCAGGAGAAACAAGAGAGAACAAAAGCTATTTATTTGCATCTTTTAATCTAGAAGGAAAGAATGATGTGAATGTGAAGAATATCCAGTGAAAATGATAATTGTGTTACGTGCAAATACGTCCACCCACAATGCATTATGACATCCTACTTTTGTCCAACTTTTGACACTTTTAAAAATGCATCACAAACTAAATGTATTACACTTATATATAAATAGAAACATTTGAATCGTGTGAAATTTCCAATAAAACTCAGATATTAAAGGACGATTCAGAAAACGAAGGAAACACTTTCATAATTATTAAGTAAACAAACAAATATGTAGATATTGATGTGCAGTTTGATCTCAACTCCACTAAATATATTTTGAGAACATTTACAGCAGAATAAAAAGACGGCAGACCAACATCAGACTCTACAAGAAGCTCAAAGAGAACTGATTAACATGTACAGTTCACATCTTATAGTTCATTCAGTTACATTAATTCATTATTTGGCAGAATGTGGAGACATTGTTCAACTGCTTGAGTTATAAATCATCTATGAAATCATTCACATCCTTAATATTATTATACAAAATAAATCTATAAATCTATACAGTGGTGTGTGTATTATAATTTCCTTAACACATCACTTATTTAGCTTCCTTGCTTTTCCTTTTGTGCAGACTTATCACCCCTTGAATTCTGGTTTTAAATATTTATTTAAAAAATAAAAAATGTATTATTATTTATATGTTCATCACTAAATACGCAACAATCAAAACAAAGAAAATAACATCTTCGGATATTATTTTTCAGTCAAAAACATGGTGCTTCATGGTGACAGCGTGAATGTGGTTTGGTCAGATTTTACAGCACTTGCTGTGACAGTAGAAGTATTCAGATCATTTACTTTAGTGAAATACTAATACCACACTAGTACTACTAATACCACACTAGTACTAGTACTAGACTATATAAAGTTTCTCTCTTTCTAAACTAAACCACAGCGCCATCTGCTGACAGACTCAACAGTAACAACAGTTCTGTGTGCGTTTCCACCACGAACACAGGCGGAACTAATCTCATTAATACCGACCTGTCTCAGTGAGTCGAGCCCTTTAGACAGACACACCGTCATTACGGTGATTAGGCGGTTTAATTCAGGACTTTTACTTGTTCCAAGTCTTTCTATAGTGTGATATTAGTACATGTACTTAAGTAAAACATCTGAATACTTCCTCCACTTGTGATTATTTCACACTGACCGTTACTGACGTGTAGAAAAACGGTAATTTAGCAACCGGATATGACGATTTGGCTCATTTAACTAACGTTAGTTAACTACGGTAGTTAGCGGTAATTAGGTTAATCAATTAAATATAGCGGACGAAATTAATTAAAACTTTTTTTCATATAGAATAGATGAATTGGAAGTTACCGTGTTTTGGTCCGTTCTCATCTTGAGTTCCACCTACAGCCATGTTTCTCTCTGGCCCACACACTTCTTTATTCTATTATAATGTTTTTAAAAGTAAAAATTGTGTTTTTAGGTTCTCAACTTCAAGTAAAAAATAAAACCAGACACAAAGGTAGTAGGCCTGAAGCTCGCGACAGCGGACTGAGCAGGTGGGCGGGGTGACGGAGAAATTACACTTTGTAACCTTGTTAAGAAAAGTGCGAGTCCAAGATAAATAAAGTTTGTCATCAGGCTGTTATTTATAAGAGAATTAAAACCGCTAAAAATATATATACGTATATTTGTATTACTCTGTGTAAAGTTTAGGTGACATAATGAAAAATGCTTTCTGAGTTGTGGGACAAAGCTTTAACCTTTAACGTTCATAAAATCATCTTTTCTTTACTCTTTTATCTGCAAATATACGAACCTCAAAGATTATGACAAAGTTAAGTATTTGCCAACAATACTTCATAATTAAAGTTTTAATCCACCTCCATCATCTAACAGCACAATAATAAAGAGGGCGTCTACGGAGCAGTGAGAAATTAAGAAACTTTAAAATAAATATGGAGATGGTCTACAGGGATTAATGTTATTTTATGTGTTTCTACTATAAATATTCAGTATTCAGAAGTACATTTACTTTACTTGAGTGTTATTAATGTGATACTTCTACATTCTATAATCCAGAGGCTAATATTGTACTTTTTGCTCCACTAGATTTGTCAATTATGATGTATTATTAAAGGTTAAGATGAGGTATACATGAGAGTTACATACGTGTATGTGCACATTAATACAAATAGTATAATCGAATAAAATGATTATCATTCTGTACTTTAAGTATATTTTGATGATACTTTTGTGCTTTTACTACAGTACAATTTTGAATGCAGGATGTTTACTGTAACAGTGTCTACACTGTAGTATTAATACTTCTACTGACTCCACCAGCGTTCATTTGTTGGAAATGTGTAAAATCAGCCAAATTACAGGAGTAATGTATAGAAAGCTGCAGAGAAAAAAACAGCTGACTCTACTGATTTGATGACAGTTTAACTCAACTTTTATTTACAGTTTTAACTCCTGAATCTTCATTTTATCCTCAAATTAAGACGCCATGGCTTCTTTATTGTGTGGTGCAGTTCATCTTTTGACCACGAGGTGGAGCACTTTACCTTCTCCTGAAACACAAAACCACTCACAACTCCTATTGACACTATAATCAATATCATCGATATCTCATAACTATGAATCCTTGTTTTCTACTTTTTATTACTACGGTACAGCTCAACCTGGGGGTCGGGCCCCTCTGAAGGGCCACAGGACTGATCTGAGGGGTCGAGAGACTAACGGAGTATAATGAGAACATAAAACCTTAATCTGAAAAGTAACCAGTAACTATAGCTGCTCAATAAACAGAGAAGTAAAAAGTACTATATTATACTACTGATATGTAGTGAAGTAAGTATAAAGTACCACAAATATTCTACATAAGTAGGTACATGTACCACCATAGTGTACATTTGAATGCTTTTCTTTAAATTGAGTATTGTTTCAATAGGTTCTGCTCCTTTAGTGATTATTATTATTTTTATTTGCTTTCTCTTGCCTCAGTTGTTTTTACTACACAGGTTTAGTTTGTTTGTGCTGAATGAGTTAAATAATAAAGTATATATCTCAATATTACTACTACTTCAAACAGTACTACCTGAGAACCTCTTACAGTTAAATATAAAAACCAACGGAAGGTGTATTTATAAAGGTTATACACCCGTAAAATTCAGCTCAAGGAAGATTCAAATGATACATATTCACAGCAGATTTTGGAAAAAAAGAAACTTTATTTTGGAAACATTATGGAGAGAAAACAGAATTTTAGAGTTTGTTTCATTTCTGAAAATCATTTTATTTACTATAATACACAGCGATGACGTTAAGAGTCAGATGGTTTGTACACCGGGGTGACTGAGAGCAGATCGACAGAATGATAAAAGATAAAGAGTTGACTGATTGATGAGAATACTACAGACGAACAGCTTCATCTTTATTATTACCCCCCCCCCCACACACACACACACACACACACGCACACAAACCTTGAGCTTGTGGATCAGGACGCTCTCATTAAACCTGAAACTGTTGTATTGTTGGCCGCGTTCCATTCTGAATGTTTGTCCCCTCCAACACACTCTGCTCGTCTCACTCACACCTTTAAGGAGAACAAAGTCTCTCGTCCGTCTGCGGCGCGTCCCATTCCAGACACGTGTCTCCTTCAAAGTGTCCTTCTAACGTCTCACTTCTGGCTCCGTTCCATTTCTCTTCAGCTCGACCTTTTCACTCAAATTAAAAATAAAAAAACAAAGAATCTACGTTGGCTTGATTCCTTTTCTACTCTTTCAACTTTGTGTCCTCTCACGCTGTTATGATTATTTTTAAATCTTTTAATTTCAGGAATAATTATTTCCATCATTGTTTAATCTGTTGATTAAGTTTTGATTGAGCAAATTAAAAGTCTTCAAATATCTTATTTTGTCCGATCAACAATCCAAAACTTCAAAATAATAAATTTAGAAGAATAAAGAATTAAATTGTTGAGCTGGAGCCGAACTTCTGGCATTGCTGCTTAATAAATTGCATTATTAATTTTTATTTTATTATTAAAATAAACAGTAAAAAATATTTAAAGTGTTTCAGCAATCGTGAGAAGATGAATAATGTTTTTAAAAATTAAACTAGTTCGTTAAAATAGAGAAACATTGGCAAAATTTGCCAAAAAACTGAAAAGGAAAAGCTTAAATTGCCTCGCGATGTCATCCGGCTACAAATATCAGCTGATCAGGAAACAGCTGACTGGTTTGAGGAGACACTGTCTGAAATGGGACACACCCCGGCTCCATAATGGGATTCATCCCTCGTCGCTTCATCGAGACACTTTGCCGATCACAGGAAAATAAACCGGCTGAGTTTTAACCGTCCGCAGAGCAGAGCAATGCATTCTGGGTATAAACAGATTATTGTGTATAAAGACTTAAAGTAGCATTAATATAAACACCACAACTGTCAATAAAATAATTTATATAATAAGAACATTAACTGGGAATAAGTGTGTCATTTGGTGCTAATTAAAAATAAATTTTGCAATTAAATACAAATAAATATTCATTCTTTGCTCATCTACGAATAAAAACTTTATTCTTTTATATTCCAGACACGTTCAGCTGTGACCCGCTTAAAAGACTCTCTGGGTGATGACAGTAACTAACTGAATTAAATGGATTAGCAGTGTGTCGCTCTCTACTTCCTCTGTGAAGTACACGCGCTGGAGGAAGTATTCAGATACTTTACTATGAGTAGAAATACTACGATGTAGAAAAATACTACAGAGACGTAGGAGCGACTACAAGCAGCTCAGACGTTTGTTTCTCTCTGAAATGTGGAGTAAAAGTATAGTAAGTAGCATCGGATGGAAGTACTCAGGTACAAGTAGAAGTACCTCGATATTAAACTTTCCACCGCTGAAAATAAACTTCTTTCCAGGAAACTTAAAGGAAAATATTATTCAGACGAGAAACACGTTAAACGTCTTACGAATATTTTTCATCCAGGTGAACAGAAGAGTGAATAACAGAAGAGTGAATAACAGAAGAGTGAATACTAGAAGAGTGAATACTAGGAGAGTGAATACTCTAATACTCGTTTAACGTCGAAGGAACGCCACAAAAACACGAGATCAACAAACAACTGAAGTTTGAGGTGTTACTATCTTTAAACCTTTTGTTGTTTTTTGTTATCGATGAAGAAAGCGACGAGGGATTTCCTCTTCTACGACGAGCCCCACACACACGCACACACACACGCACACGCACACACGCACGCACACAGACACACACACACGATGGGTTTCAGTTACACCATCAGAAACACAGAGAAATATGATTATAGCTTCTGACAGAGTATAGTCCAGTACCCGGTGGTATTTCACTACATCAGCAACCTCTGCTGCTGATACATTTATATATATATATATTTATATATATATATATATATTTATATATATTTATTTCCCGTATTTAGGGAAAACTATTCGACATATAACCAAAAATATGATATTAAGAGTTAATTTCTTGCATGACGGAAAATAATAGAAAAAGATCTTTTCAGTGGAAATGTTCCCTCTAAACCCAAAAACATATTCAGATAAAATGATGCAGATCTGAACACGAGCTCCTTTACAGCTTCAAAGCGTTTAATTTTTTTTTTTACTTTAAACTTTAAACTTTTCTTTTCTCACTAAGTGGCAAAAAACAGAGACATGCACATTTTTTTTAGTTTCCAACAAACCAACAGACCAAAGAAACGGAAATGAAGAAGAGGGAGGCGTCTCTTCCACGGAGCGCAAAAAACAGAGGAAGTCGTCGAAACTACGAACCGATTGGACCCTGAACGCATCGCGACAAAGTGGTTTTAAAGAGACGAGAACGTCGTGAAGAGTCTCTAGTCGAGTCCACGGTTTCTATTCCCTCCTGAATCCCCCACTTCCCTCTGAAGGAAAGGTACAAACTGGCTGTAAAACAGACCTCAGGTCAGTTCACACAGACACAGACACACACACACACACACACAGACACACACATAAAGTGGGTAGAAATCACAAAACAAACAAAATATTAGAAAAAAACAACTTAAACAGACATGAAAATCGTCATGTGGGACCTTTGACACAAACCGTGCATGTGCTGTCCTTTAAGGGGGGGGGGGGGGGGGGGTACATTTTGATGGGGGGGGGGGGGGAAGGATTAATTTTGTCCTTGTCCCCCTCCCCCCCAAACATCCCAGAGTCTAAAAGATAATCCACAATGTGTGATGTTTCTGTGAGGACGTACGACGTCACGTTCTCCTCGTCTCCTCCGACTGACCGCCTTCTGGGTCAAAGGGCAACAGAAGAAGAAGAAGCAGAAGAAGAAGAAGAAGAAGAAGAAGAAGAAGAAGAAGAAATGTTTCCTTTTGCTGAAATGTCAAAAAACAGTCAGTGAGTCAGTCAAACATCTAATAAGTGTTTCCGTATTTGAGTTGCAGTCATGGGGACTCTTAGTTTTTACTTCCCTTATCTGTAGTCTCAGACCAGGACCAGGGGGACAGGGTTTTAAGGGGGACAGGGTCTTTCAGGGGGACAGGGTCTTATGCTCAGGACCCCAGTGTGCTCTATCATGAGGGTAAAGAGGGAGGAGGGGGATCTTTATCCAAGTCAGACCCTGCTAAACGATCAAATCAGTTCCATCATCGACTAATTTCAGTCTCAAAGAAAGGGGCAGTCGGATCCAAAAGAATAGTTCCCAAAAAACAAAAGAAAGGTGACGTCCGAATGTAAATTCTCTAATCCGGGATTTCCGCAGGACGAGCCGATCTCACAGATTAGATTAATCCAACAAACGGTGGATGTGTCTCTAAGCTCCTTCACCTCCAAACAGCAGCTGCACCGACGGGTTATTTCATTATTTATTCTAAGAGCAGACCGCCGTTTGGAGATGACCTCCGGGGTTAAAACAACCCCCTAGGCTTTTTTTGTTGTATTTGCCAGCATGCCTTTCTCCCTCCCCCCCACCTCCTAGATGAGCGGGTCGTGGTGCAGCGTGTGCTGGATCTGCTGCGGCTGCAGCGGCGGCGGCAGCTGCAGCAGAGCCTCCACCATGCTGTGGCAGTGCGGCGGCGGCGTGCCCTCGCTGCCGGAGCACTCGGCCATCTCGCCGCCGTGGAAGAAGTAGTCGCTCTGCAGGATGAAGGACTCGATGACGGCCTGGTTCAGCTTGGTGGAGGACAGCGTGTCCTTGTTCTCGAAGTCGGGCCTCATCAGCGTCGGCCAGAAGCAGATGGACAGGTTGTCGGCCGTCATCAGGGTGGTCTTACTGTGCTGGCTCACCCTGAGGAGGAGAAACGGTTCACGGTTTGGTGGTTTCAGGTAAAAAATATCTCTCTTTCTCAGTCTCTCTCTTTCTCTCTCTCTGTCTCTCTCTTTCTCTCTCTCTCTCTTTCTCTCTCTCTCGCTCTCTCTGTCTCTCTCAGTCTCTGTCGTTTGGGCCGCTGGTTTAAACAAAGAGTCAATCTAAGAAACAAATGTCTGTGAACGGGACGAAATGAAGACTAAAGAGGAACAAGAGGAACATTTCCGTCTTGTGTCCGTCATCCTACTCTGATATTAAGCCTCATCAGAATGCTGAATGTTTAAAAGAGCGACTGAAGGAATAATCCCACATGCAGTCATAATTAAAGTGCACGTGAAGGCGTCTAAAAATGTACAAAGAAAAGGTCCAGACTCTGAGAACTGAGTCGTTTACAGAGTGTCAGCTTCTGATTCTGAATAAAGCTTCCTGCTGCGATGTGTTCACTGTCAACACAGACGTACGTTCATTTGAGCGCCGAGGCGTTTAGGAGAGTGTGTGTGTGTGTGTCTCTGAGAGTGTGTGTGTGAGTGAGAGTGTGAGTGTGCATGTATCTGAGAGTGAGTGTGTGTGCGTGCGTGTGCATGTATCTGAGTGTGTGTGTGAATGTGTGCATGGATCTGAGTGTGTGTGTATGCATGTATCTCAGAGAGTGTGTGTGTGTGAGTGTGTGCATCTGTGTGTGCATGTGTCTGAGAGTATGTAAGTGTGTGTGTTTGTGTGAGAGTGTGCGTGTGTGTGTATCTGACTGTGAGAGTGTGTGTGTGTCTTACCTGTTGAGGTGTGTGATGATGTATTTAAAGACCTGGTAGTTGACGGAAGGAAACTTCTTCACGATCTCACGCAAAACCTGCAGACGCTCGATGTAGTCCACGATTTCTAATAAACACACACACACACACACACACACACACA